GGAGACAGCCTACAGATTGGGAAAAAGTATTTGCCAACACCAGGTCTGACAAAGGCTTAACATCTTGGATCTACAAGGAACTCAAACGTGCTGAAAAAAAAACCAACAAACGACCCCATTATAAAATGGGCAAAAGATATGAAGACACTTCACAAAGGAAGACGTCCAAGCAGCCAACAGACACATGAAGAAATGCTCAACCTCACTAATCATCAGGAAGATGCAAATCAAAACCACACTGAGATACCACCTAACTCCAGTCAGAATGGCAATTAACAACTCAAAAAATAACAGCTGCTGGAGAGGGTGTGATGAAAAGGGAACACTTCTACACTGTTGGTGGGAGTGTAAACTAGTACAACCTCTCTGGAAAGCAGTGTGGCAATTCCTAAAAGCTCTAAATATCAACCTCCCATATGACCCTGCAATCCCCCTACGGGAATATATCCTGAAGAACTCAAATCACTCTATAAAAAAGATACCTGCACATGTATGTTTATCGCAGCATTGTTCACAATAGCAAGAACCTGGAAGCAACCATGCTGCCCATCAAAAGAGGACTGGATTTAAAAATGTGGTACATATACACGATGGAATACTAAGCAGCCATAAAAAAGAAAACAATAAGAAAACAAACAACCCGATTTAAAAAATAAGCCAAAGACCTTAACAGACACTTCACTGAAAAGGATATACAGATGGCAAATAAGTAAATGAAAAGATTTTTAACATCAAGTCATTAAAGAATTGCAAATTAAAACAATGAGATCCCACTACACACATATTAGAATGGCTAAAATCCAAAACACTGTGAACACCAAATGCCAGCAAGGATGTGGAGCAACAGGAATTCTCATTCATTGCTGTTGGGAATGCAAAAATGGTACAGACACTTTGAAAAGAGTTTAGTTTCCTACAAAGCTAATCATGCCTCACTTTAAGAGCCAACAATCATACTCCTTGGCATTTATTCAAATGAGCTGGAAACTTATGTCCACAAGTTTTTGGCAATCATAAATAAAGATGCTATAAATGTTTAAGTGGGAGGAAAAAGTCTGAAAAGGCAAAACTATGGAGACAGTAAAAAGATATTTGCTGGGTACCTGCATAATCAACATTTCTATACCTACTCCTGAATTGTACCCTACATCTTTATAATAATAATAATAATAATAATAATAAAAAGATATTTGCCGGGGTTTGGGAGACAACTAAATGCAACTCAGAATCCTGAATTTGAGCTTGAGGAAAACTTTTGCTATAGCACATTTTATAAAGCACATTATTGGGACAATTAGCCCAATGTGAATAACGTCTGCGGATTAATTAGTATTTCATCAATGTTAATATTATGACTCACATTTACATATATATCTGTTAAGAAATACTGAAGTAGTTAGGGATAAAAGTGTCTCATATCTGCAACTTACTCTCAAAAGAATTAAGAAAAAATATACGTGAAGGAATGTAGGAGAAAATATGATGAAATAAATATAGTAAAATGTCAACATCTGAGGATTCTTGATAAGAGGCAAACAGGAGTGCTTTTTACTACTTTGGAAACTTTCCTACAAAGTTTGTAAAGTAGCTGGTCATGGTGGCGCATATCTATAATCTGAGCACTTTGGGAGGCCAAGGTGAGAGAACTGAGCTCATGGGTTCAAGACCAGCCCGGGCAACTTGGTGAGAATTCATCTCTACAATAAATCAAAAAATTATCCAGGCACGGTGGCACATACCTGTAGTTCCAGCTACTTGTAAGGCTGAGACAGAAGGATCGCCTGAACCCAGCATATCAAGGTTGCAGTGGCCGTAAGCATGCCACTGCACTCCAGCTTGGGCAACAGAGTGAGACTCCAACTTATGAATTAATAAATAAACAAATAAAGTTTGTGAAGTTAAAGCAGAATTTAAATTAAGTGTAGTAAAAACAAAATATTCCATATAGTGTTCGAGTAGCTGGCAACCCCAACATATATCTCATAAACTCTCCAGGTAAACTGAAAATCTTAATATAGTAAACCAAATCAATATATTGGATTATTAAAAAGTTTAAAACTTGTGATCAAATTCCTTAAAGAGGCAAAAAGAGTAAAGAAATTTGGAAAAAAAATATCTGTAACCGAAGATACAGAAATACCAATTGAGCATATAAGAAAAATCATCCTAGTAAAAAAATTGGCAAAGACATAATGATAAATGAAAATGTCACAAAAGAAAAAAGATATATAAATATCAGGAAAGAATATCCTAGCTCAGCAGTCACCAAAGAAATAAAGATTAAGTTCGTGATAAAGCTACCATTGCTCGCCTGCGACGTGTGCTTGTAATGGGCCACAGACTCCCTGTTGCTTTCCTGCGGCATCTCACTAACCCTGCAGCTCCGCAAGACTGCATTCTTGTCCCCCTGGGCAGGGGGGAGATAAACAGGTGAGTGACTGGGCCAGGGTCACACAGCCATGAAGAGGCAAGGCTGGGGGGGCCATCCAAGCTGTGGCTCTAGGGAACAACAATAGTAATTAACAAATATTTAACAAGAGAATACAAGGTTAAGAAGGGAAAAAGCTAGAAACTAACCATGAAAATTTAGAAACAGCCAAGAGGCCACTGAGTAAGTAAAAGGACGAAACGTCTGCAACCATTACAACTCGTCGGAGGAACATGCAACTTTCAGAAACCTCACCAAGTACAAACCAAGCCAGTCATGGAAATTTGGAGATCAAATAATAACAACAGGTTATTCTTGGGGGTGATCAGGGATGACTTTCTTCTTTGTACTCTTCTGTATTTTCCAAGTCTTCTTCAAAGAACATGCTTTACTTTTATTATAATGATTTTTAATATATGAAATATGATATATTTTTTAAAAGGCCACGTCTGTGAAAGTTGCTAAGGACAACTTGCACCCATTATCACACTGCAGGGCAGCACATGACCAGCAATCACACCAGGCCAGGCCAACAGGAGAAAACTAGAAAACCAGCTCCTGGCTGCACCTATCTGTCAGAATAGGAGAAAATCCCCACTCCATCCAAGGTCGCCAACAAAAAAACAACCAGAAAATCTTCAGACTGGTTGGAAATGAGGCAACATACTCTTCCATGACTCATGGGCCACAGAAGAACCCACCATAGAAACAGATAACACTTTAAATTGAGTGATATATCAAAACTTACATAGGCCCGGTGTGGTGGCCCACGCCTATAATCCCAACACTTTGGGAGGCTGAGGCAGAAGATTGCTTGAGCCCAGGAGTTTGAGATCAGCCTAGACAACATAGTGAAGAGAGACCATGTATCTACAAAAATATATATTTTTTTAATTAGCCAGGTGTGGTGTCACACACCTGTAGTCCCAGCTACCCAGGAGGGCTGAGGCAGGAGGATCACTTGAGTTCAGGAGTTTGAGACTATGGTGAGCCATGATCATGTCATTCACTGCACTCCAGTCTGGGTGACAGAGTGAGACCCTGACTCAGAAAAAAAAAGGAAAAAGAAAAAAAAAAAGTTACTTACAGCCTTAAGGACATATTTAAATAAAAGATTAAAATTGAAATATCTAAGCACCCAAGTTAGAAAAGGAAACTTAAATAGAAAAATAATAATAAAGAGCAGAAATTGATGAAACCAAAAATAAACTCATTTAAAAAACAGAATCAAAGACTAAGATGGTTTCTTTCAAAAGATCAATAAGACTGTCAGCCGGCAAGGATGCAGATGCCAAGCCCACGGCAGTTCACTAGGCACAGATACAACTCTGTTCAGGCAGGATAAAGCTGAACGGAAATGGAAAACCTCCCTAAATAAATAAAAAAATTGAAAATCTGTACAGCCCTGTAACTGTTAAAGAAACTGAACCCATAATTTAAAAATCTTCCCTCAAAGAAAATTTCAGGCCCAATGGATTCTCCAGTGAATTTTTCCAAACATTTAAGGTAGAAATGTCATGAATATTACACAAATTCTTCCAAAGAATATAAAAAGAAAAAACACTTTCCCACTGGTTTTCTGAGCCCAGCATTATCTTGACAGAAGAACCTGACAAGGACAATATACTAATGAAAAATTACAGACCAGAGGTATAAAAATCCTAACAAAAGATTCTTCAAATTGAACCCAATGATATTGTAAAAAGGACAAAACAACATAACTAAGTTGAGTCTGCACCAGGCATAACATTCAAAAATGAAAAATGTACTTCTAATAGGATAAAGAAGAATCTACAAAACATGCACAACCTATCACTGTACCTGTAACACAGCAGTGCCATTCCATGCCCAGATGAAATGGGCACCTACATGCCCCAAAAGACAAGTACAAGAATGTTCACAGTGGATGTTTTCACATAACCCAAAATGAAATCCTCCCAAGTGCGGTCAACAGGCATGTGGATGAAGCATGACATCTGCATTCAACCAGCAGCCTGAGAAAGAGACAGATACCACACCAGCCACCTGAACAAACGAAAGTCCATGTCGCAGGATTCCACTTAGACTGGTTCAAGGCAAGCAACAGGAGGGTGACCTCCTCACAGAAAGGAGAAGGGGGAAGGGCCTGAGGGGATCTGGAGACATCAGCATGTCAGACGCTGCCCACAAGGGCCTGTCCACTGCATGATGACAATGGAGTGCTACGTCAAGACCTGTATACTTTTCTGAGTATTTGTATTCTTCAGCAGGAAAAGTTACTTTACACCTCCTACTTCTTTGGACACAGGAAGAGTTAAGAATGTCTTTTTAACATTATTAGAAGATATGAAAAAAAACTCATTTTGTATTATAACTGTGCTATTCTGAGTCCTCTGTATATATATATATGTTTGATATTCTTTAAGGTATACAACTCGATTCAGGAATACCTGCAACCTCCTCCATGTTTAAGTAAGTTTTATTTCTGAGATGGGTAGCAGGGTCCCATGTTATAGCACAAGGCATCCACTTCCTGCCCTCTCAGTGGCCCCAGGGTGAGTGGAAAAGCATATCTGGCCAAGGCCCTCTTTACCTGATCTCTGCCACCCTGTGGTCCGGGAAATGCTTGTGGAAATGCTTCAGTGCCTGCATCACAGCTGAGGTACACTCCACATACGTGTAGTCAATCATGATGTCCCCTGGAAAGGGAAAGAGGAACTGAGAAATGTGAGCTTCACCCTGACCACCCAGGGCCTACAAATCATGCCAAATCATCCTCTGGAGCAAATGACAACTGGCCTAGGCTACATGGGGGCAGAGTGCAGCACCTGTGCTAATGTGAGAATGAGGAGGGGTACTGGCACAGGATGAGGGGAGCACAGCAGAAAGCTGTGCCACACCCCAAAAAGTCATATGTAGCGGAAACCAGGAAGGAGCACAGAAGTTGCCCAAAGGTGGACCAGGGCATATGGAACTGCCAGTCAGGCAGAACCATAGTTACTGTGTAGACAGCAGCCCACAGCCTGTGGCATGGCCACCAAAGCCTCCACCCTCCCCCTAGACATCTCCCTGCAGATGCCGTGGGCTCCATGAGTTGTGCTTGGGACACAAGACAGTCACCACAGAACAAAAGTCCCTATGAACAGAGCAGGAGCCAGCCCACGTTGGGGCCAGAGAGAGCTAGGTATGAATCTTGCTGGAATCCTCCACTGATCCCCAAAACTGACCTGAAGTCCTTTTCTGAAATACAGGGATCTCCACCACACCCAGAGCTGGAAGGGCATAGAACATTCCAGGGCTTGGAGAGGACTCCATGTTGGGACCTCACTGGCATAGCCCCAGACAAGGAAGAAAACACAGGCATCCAGGTTTGTGAGCCACAATGCTGGCCTACCCACTCACCGAAGACCTCTGAGGGGTTCAGCAGCTCCAGCAAGCGCCCCCCACGCTTGGTCTCGTAGGTGGCAAACCCTCCATCAGGATTCCTCATGTTCAGCAACTAAAAACCGGAGACAGAACATCCTGAGAACTTATTCATTCACTGATCATACACAGGAGCCTAGAGATCATAGTGGAGCTTTCTAGATGGGACAGGAATGGGGAACTGGGAACCAATTTTCAGGTTAAGCAAGCCCTTGGGTGCCCCAGGCAGCAGCTATAGCCTCATCCCTCAAAGCCTCCATGCATGGCCATCTGGGAACACAGACCCAGCTCACATGGACTCATCACTTACATATCAAATACACACCACCAGAGCAGAAGACCGCCACCAAGAAACACACACAAAAACCAGATATGCTGAAAATATTTTGCACCAAAACAAACAGAAATTCTGTTTTCTTTGCAAACTCAATGGAAACCACCAGCCTGCCCTAAGGAGGCCCACGGGAGCCTCAGCACGGAGCAGCTGTGTCCATGAGCTTCTGGAACCAGAGAGACCTTGGGAGCCATACGGCCACCTGAGGGTGTCTGTGGTTGGGCTAGGCATGACTTCCACAGTGCAGGACCCTATGCCCACAGTCACTTTGGGACTCAGAGTTCTCCGAATACAAATGCCGTCCAAGGTCAGGCCCCCACAGCCCAGTCCAGAATGCTTGCTGACAGAGTCCATAGAAGTGGAGGTGACCATGCAGTTCATCTACAGGATACAAGGGCAGTGGGGGCAGGAACCTCAGTCTCACCACAGCCACGGCATCCCAGAGCCGTCCTTGAGGGATGTGCTCGGTGACAAAGGGACACTTCTCCTGCAGGAGAAGCACAGACTTCAAGGCTTCAGCCGTGCAGTCACTGACAATCCAGCCACAGTCCATCGTGCTGAACGAGAAGCCACCCTGAAAAGATGAGCCATGGTCCCAGGTAAGGGTGCCCACGCCCCATCCTCGGAAGACCCCACAGCTACCACAGCCCTCCTCCCAGAGTTTCTGGTAGAGGCAGAAGACCATACATTGCAGAGGTGCAGGTGCAGTTAGGGCCCAAGCTGGGCACATCCAGATGGACCTACAGCTTCCAGCACAGGAACCTGCAGGGCTGCAGCCTTAGCCCAGCTCCCATCGCAGCTGTGAATCTATCTGTGTGCACTTTAACTATCTGAACTGCTCTGAGGCATTGCTACGTGTGTGTGCAGGCAGCCTCTACAACACGAGCTTCAGTCCCACCCTGGGCATCTAGCAGACAGCCCTCCCTAAGGGAGGAGCAGTGGGGCAGAGCCGACTCTTCTGGGCTGGGTGGGAAGGGCAGGGCCAGTTCATTGTACCTTGCTCATCTGGCGGTAGTACTTCTGGTAGTCAGGAGGGTTCTCTAGGACCTGGGTAGCATTGAGTAGCACATGTGGAAAGCAGAGAGACACACATCATCACCATGGCAGAGAGGGCCTCATGTCACTGTCCAGGGCATTGTTCAGACAGGTGGGCAGGACTGGAGAAGCAGGATGTGCTGTGGCACCGGTGCTGCTGCTGGCCACATGCCATTGGTGCTGCAAGGTGCCCAGAAGCTGCTGAGAAATACCACCACCGGCAAGGGCTAAACCAGCTCAGAAGGGAAGCACCGGGCCCTCATGATTCCCCCATAGGTCAGAAGACAGTGAGGGGCCCAACAAGATGCTGCAGGGTGAACAACTCCAGTTCCATGGACCTTTGGCTATGCAAGAGAGGAAACAAGTTTGAGTGTATGGGGTCCAGTCTGCTCTTCTGAGTGTCCGCTGTTCTGAGTAAGTCCTGGACAGGAGCCAGGGGCAGACCCCACTGCGGGGGCAAGCAGCAACAACATGCCCTGTCCCTCACCCCAAGCTCCAGACCTTGGCCTTGGCTACACACAGGCCCAAAGGCCGGTGCAGAAGCAGCCTCCTAGTAAGGTCTGAATGGGGAGACAGGGCTGAGGGGGCAACATCCTGGGCAGAGTGATGGCGCCGGAGGCTAGAGGTGGCCCCAGTGGCTGGGGCAGGACATGGGAGACATGGAAGGATGGGGATGCAGGAGGTGGGGGAGCAGACAAGTGTGAGAGATACTGAGTGGTCAAATCAGGGGCTTTGAGAAGGGTCCAGGTCTGCTCTGGCAGGATGAAAGGAGGCACTCATTGCAAATGGTCTTTCATTGAAGTCAACAGGTCGGGGTCATCCCCAAGGGCAAAAGACACCTAAGATGCAGGGCTGTTAAACAGGCCACAAACCTCAGGGTACAGGATCCCTGACTGTGCCCCAACCCCTCTGCACACAGTGGTTCCAAGAGGACAGGATGCAGTTGCTCAGAAACTTCCAGTATTCACAGTGGGGCGGTGACAGGCTACTACAGGCCTCTGGAGAGCTGCCTTGGGCAAGACTGGTACAAAGAAGACAGGTGGGTGAAGGAGGGCAGGATAGGGTGACCTGAGAAACCAGTATGGGGAACAGGGTAGATGGAGGTGAGGTGGGTACTTCTGCCTGTGGGACCTCTGGCCCAGATATCCCTCTTTACCCCCCCTCGGTGCCCCAAGCACAGGCCTCACCTGTGAGAGCCGAAGGAACTCATGTGCTTTCTGCAGGCAGGATGAAAACTCAGGTCTTTGGTGCATACCAGCCTGGAAGAGACCACAGAACAGTGAGGCTCAGCTGCCCTGTGTGGCTGGTGTGAGGAGTCAGTTCCCAGATGGTCCTGCCCCCACTGGAAACCAGAATCAAAGTGGCAGAAGTCTCCAGAGATGCTGGGGTCTCCTACGACACTTATCTTCAAAGATAAAGACAAAAGCTGTAAGATGTGACTGAAAACGGAAGAGAGAAAAGACTGGCCATGGATGCCAGCACCCGCCTGCCTGGTCAATGTCTGTACCCAGAGGATCGCCAGTGTCCCAAGCAGGCCTTGCACATGCTCAGGGCTCTCCAAAAACACCTTCAGATTTCCACCAACCTCATTCCCACCAGCATGTAAACATACTCTCATTTCTCTCTAGTTCACACTCAAGAACCCTCATGATGAGCAGTTTAAGTCTTATGAAGAGTCTTGACCTACCCCACTCTGGAAGCCCCTCTGCCCTGCACTCTTCAGGACAGCCCTCACAGACTCACCTGCTCCCACAGCCTGCAGTTCCTATCCAACCAAAGCCCTCAACCCAGTCCCACCACATGCAGGGCCGCCACTGCCAGAGTCTTAAGAGTCCAGGTTAGTAGGAATGCCAAGAAATAGCAGGCACATGGTCAGCAGTGCCGCATCCCTTAAGTGGGCACATGGGCCCAGTTGCATGAGTCAGTCGGGGCTGAGGAAGGACACAGAGCCACGTACCTCCAGCAGAGCCTGGATGGTGAACGAGGTGTCCCAGATCTGTGAGCCGTTGGTGCCCTACACATGAAGGATGAGCCATTACAGCAGCAGCAGCGTCTCCCTACTCCCACCCACCATTCTCAGGATCTGATGGGCACCTGGGGGCTGGGTGTGAGGTGTGGGGACTCCCACTCAGTCAATACCCAATCCCAGATTCTGAGTCTTGCCCACCACTCATGGTCAACGAAGGCCTGAAAGATGGCTGGGTCTTGCAGACCAACATGGGTCAGGGAGCACTGCCTACTTCATTAGTCACCAGCCAAGACAACAATCCTCCCAGGAAACACTTAGGATTAGACGATCCCTCCTGGGATATAGTACCCACACAAAGAGCATCCTGCTCCCCCACCCAATGGCAGTGGTGCACCCCAGACATGGTGGCAACAGAAAACACCCCTCGTTTCTGAATGTACCTGGAGGTGACAGGACCCCAAAGGGGCTGGAAGGTCCCATCCCAAATCAACACTCTGGTCTCAGTTCAGAGGACCAGTGCCAAACCCCCAGGAAAGATGGAGCTGAACAATGACCTCAGCAGATGGGGGGATAAGGAGGTGAGTTACAGGGCAGGGGTGGGCTGTGGAGCAGAGGCATCCAGCCATTGCACCCTGGAGGGATGATATGTAGGAAGTATGGGTATCAAGGTGTTCCTGCCAAAAAGAAACCCAAGGGGATCAGGCATCAGGACCTAGTCACCAGTTTACAGAAACACAGGCTCAGAGGGATACACTAGTTAGATCTTGGCTATGATACCTTTTGATGACAAACCCTCCAGAAGGAGAAAACTGTGGGAGACAGTGGTAGACCAACGCCAGCTCAAGACCAGCAACCAAATGCCCGTGTGGGTCTGGCTGCAGTCCTGATTCAACCAAGCCAGCTGCAAGTCACATCTGAATAGGCCACACTCAGGAACCATTATTCACTCTGATGGGTATGATAACAGCAGAGTGATTCTGCAGCAACAGGCAAGTTCTTGTTGGTTCAGGTCCCCTATGAGGCTGGGGAAGGAGGTGGTGCCTGCTCGAGGGCTCATGACCATCCTCCACCTTGCATGTGGCAAGTCAGGGAGCTGGGGATGCACAAGGCTGGCCAGGAACAACTGTGGTTGGGGCAACTGGTACTAAGGGGCTGAGGACATGGGCCTACCACAACCTGACAAAGGGAACTCCAAATGACTGCATGGAGATACCCCCACCAACCAGCCCCACCTCCCATCACAGCACCAAGATGGGAGCTCCTACAGCTCTGTGGCTGTCGTTACAGTAGCAGCTCAGCCCATCCTGACCACTAGGGCACAGAACAAACAAGGCAGCAGAGGAACACATGAAAACATGTGGTGCCGACACACATGGCAGAGAGACATATGACAACATGTGGTGCATATATATGCACAGAGCAAACAAGGCAGCAGAGGGACACAGGAGAAGACATGGTGCTGACACGCATGGCAGAGGGACATATGACAACATGTGATATACCCATCCTAGGCTGGCAGGGGGATACACAGAAACACGTGGTACCCACACACACAGATCAGCAGAGGAACATGTGAGAATACACAATGTCTGCACACAGACCAGCAGAACACATGAGAACATGCAGCACCTACCACACAGGCCAGAGGGACACAAAGGAACATGTCGGTGTGCCTGTACACATAGAAGCTGACTACATATGCTTGAGAAGCAGCCACAGGCTTTGTACTAACTTGGCCTCCATCATACACTGCTGGGACTTATATTGAGGAGGCATTATTTTTCAATCTTGAACCCAAAAGGATAAAAATAAAGGGCAGGAATGGCTGCAAAAGAAGAAAGCAGCCCATGATCCCATGGCCCTTACCTGCATTTTCATGCCATCGATGCCCAGCCTGTAAGGATGAGAAAAGCCCAAGTCAGGCACAAGGAGAAAGCTAGAGGCCCGGCCAATCGCCCAGAACTCACACTTGGGAGGGCAGTGCAGTCTCTCAAGGAGGCATCTGTGCCCTTGTCTAAGGCCTGGTGCTGGCGCTGCTCTGACTGGGTTCCTGGACATGAGGGCTATACTAGACAGGAGATGGGACACTCGGGAGGGGTACACCTAGCCAAGGGGCAGCCAAAGGTGTCATAGTTAACCCTGCCACCCTTGTGCAGCCACACCAGCAGGAACAGGCCCCCGCAGCATAGACCTTCTGTTGTGGAACCTGCTCTGTGGCCTGGCCAAGAGGAGCCTCACCTCTAGGTGGTCCACAGCAGACTTACACCTTGTCCACAGGCCTTCCTGTGGCCAGCATGAACCTGCCCCGCCCACCATACCCTCCAAGCTCCACTTTCCAGAATCTTCCCATTCAAAGGGAACCCTTATGGCTTCCACAACCCGACCCTCTTCTAGTTCTAGACAGTATTCCCAGATGCACAGCACCGTGGCCCACCTTACTGGGACAATGAGGATGTGGCTGGTGCTGCTAGACCCATGCACCTGTGTGCATGGGAAACCCCTGTGAGTCTGCACTCAGCCCTTGGTGTCTTGCGGCACCTCCAGACACACTCACCAGAGATAGTCTGGAATTCTGGAAACATGCTCCTGGAGAGCAGGTGAGGCTGGCCCATCCACGAACCAGCGTATCAGCATGTTGATGGTTTTTGAGATCTGAAGAAGACATGGCCCCATCAGGGCTCTGCTCCAGCCCTACAGTGGCCCCAGGCACAAGGCTGCATAGCCAGGGCCAGGCCAGGACAACTTCTCCAACAGGAGTTTCCCAAGCACTCACTACACCGGGTCCTGAGCGAGGATGAGCTATAGTTGTGTCCCCAGAACCCGACTCAGACAGAGGCCAGTGTCAGTGGCTGAGGTCACGGTCCTGCTTAAGGTATGAAGAGCCAAGGAGGGACTGGGCACTGCAGCAGGGAGAAGGGGCTCTGGTTCATAGCCAACGGGGCATGGGGCGCAGACTGTGGAATGCTGCATGCAGTTAGCCTTAGACACAACACAGGGGATAAAGGACAGGGTTCAAGGGGCACAGGGAGCAATATGAAGACAAAACAGAACAGTAGGGCCTGCCCGCTCCCCCTCCTCAGAGTGGAAAGTTTTACAGGCCCCAACTTTCCACTTATGGATCTCATAAGTCAAGACCCAATTGCAACTAGGTTTCTAACTTGTTTAGTACAGACTAAAGTAAGTCAAAACCCACACATGACCACATTACTGCTGAATGGAAAACAAGGGACCCACTGTTGGGTCAGTTATGATTTGTGAATCACTGAGGTAATTCAAGGCCAAGAAAACCCTGGGTGCAGTGTCAGGGCATAACTCAGCAACATGGTGCTGCCTGGGTATGTCTTGAGTCCCAAGACATACCCACCATGGTACAGAGACTGCCATCACAGCCCAGGAGCTCAAAACAAGCCACCCTGCCTGTTAGCAAGCCACCCTGCCCTGGCACAGCCTGGGGCCTGTACACCTTGAAGGTCACTTGAGTGTGTTCACACATCTGGCCCTATGGGCACAACCCCAGAAAGCTAAGCAAGATCAGGAGAGCTAGGCAGAAATAACAAGGAATGGAAGCCATGGACCCTACACACCTGCCCTGGCCATCAACAAAACCCCCAAGACAAGGGCAGATGATAGACTACTGGAGGGATTAAGAGGGAGTCAAGCAAGGAAAAAGCACTTTTCCCTGAGGGCCAGAAAGACCTCAGGAAGGAGCCTCCAGAAGTACAAGAGCAGGTAGGGGGATGGAAGGGAGGGCTGAGCCTAGGGTGCAGGGGACGAGGGACAGGGTCCTCAAATGCTTGTGAGATTAGAGGGCCACATCCCAGATGGAGGTGCCCAGGTTATGAGGAAACATGACTCCCAGCTCAAAGATCAGCCTCTGGGGCTTCTGTCCTAGGTCCTTACCCCCCAGAGCTGCAGTTGAGCACTGGGTGGGGACACTAACCGGGCCAATGCTGATGCTCTTGGTGAAGCGGTCATCGGCCACAATGTGCTCGTATAGTTTCTGGATGGCTCGCTGCCGCAGGACTGTGCTGTGGTGGCGCTCATACAGGTTGAGAAGTGCTGTGTGTAGGGGGAGGGGGCAGTCAGAAGGCGCTGGACACCAGACACTGACCTCAGCCTGGCATCCCTATGCAAGCTGCGTCAGAGCCTGTCTCTCCCTGGGCTCCCCTAGGCCTCAAGGCCTAACTCCTTTTGCCCAGGAGGAACTGCCCTACATCATCCTCCCCACCCCTGTGACCAAGGTGTCTAGGGTAGGCTCCTGAAGGTGTAATCTAGCCCAGCTGGCTCTCGGCATGGATGGGCAAGGCTGCGAGTCCCTATTTCCCCAGGGCCTGGCACAGAGGAGGCGGATCAGTGCCACTGACAAGATGAGTAACCGAGTGACAAGCAACCACCCACCATACACAGACCACCTGGCCGACTGCAAGAAGTACTCACCATACACCATGCGGAGCAGCCAGCTGTGTGGCGTGTACAGCTCATCAGGGGCCACGTTGTTCCTCTGCGCTGGCCAGTTGATACTGGCAAAGTCCTCCACGTAGAGCTCCTGGGGAGGACAGCACCTGAGCCATGTGGGGCTTAGGGTAGTACCCAGGCAGCCTACTCAAACCAGGAAGGGTAGCCCAACTCTAAGGCCCCTCGGTCATACTCCTTCTCAGGGTGGGGTCAAGTCCAGCAACTGACCCCTGTAGGGCATGAAGGCTCAGCTGTCTCACCCACATGACGACTACTCTAAGAATCCCCCAGCTCTGAGAGCCCTGGGCCTGCCTGAAGATCATTTCCTCCCTCTGTCCTTCCTCCTTCCCAGGACTATGCCTAATGAATGTCCTACACCCAAACCCAATCTCAGGGCCTGCTTCCTGAGAACACATGGCAGATGTGGGCATCTGGAAGCCCATTAGAAACACTGGCTGCTACCAGGCCCACAGAACAAATCCCCTCTAGGCAAGCTCATTTGCCATGCCAGTTGCTACAGGACAGAGGAAGGTTGACGATAGGGCTCTCAGCTCCCTAGGGCTCCCAGGTGAGTGGATATGTGTGGTTGAATTCTAGGGGAACCAAGGCCCAGCAGGTCCAGTCCTGGAGGCCATGTGCTGTATTCCTTGTTGAGGTCTTACCTGGCGGAGGCTCTGAACCAGCGGGTCCTCTGAGGCACTTAATCGGATGGCATAACAGTAGCTCATGGGTAGGTAGACCTGCCGGCAGTGGCACCAGAGTGTGGAAGGGTGCGCAGGCATCCAATCAGGAAAGAGCCTAAAGGGATAGCATGAGTCAGTGGGAGACTCCAGGACTCAAGCCAGCACTGATGCCTGGGGTTCATCCAAGCATGAACTCCAGCAGAAGCCATTCCCCATGGGTCAGTGAGGTTACCGGCATCACAATCATGCTCCTGTGGGATATAGTCAAACAATACGTGCAACCCAGGAGTCAACAAGTCCTAGTTCTGTCAGCAATTCACATTCTTAAGCCAGGTGAATGAGCATCTAAACGTTTAGGGTTGTCTGTTAGTTTCCTGGCTGCAACAAACATGCCTTGGTATGTGAGGAGCCCAGGGAATACTCTGGCCTATCTTTGCAACTTTTCTGGAAACTGGAAATTATTTCAAAATTAAAAGTTTATTGAAAACTATGGGCCTGTAGAATCTTCCTGAGGCCTGCACTTTGATTACTGTCTCTGACGTTAGCAAACTAGACCAGCCTCCTAGGTCCGTGAATACATATTTTTTCCACCACTCTTTCTAGCTCCCATCCTCATGGGTAAGGTCACAGAAGTGGAGCGGCCCTGACTTCCCTGTCCCAGTGAACATCAGGACTTGAGCAACTTTCACTTTTTTGAGGGCTCATGTTAAGGGGTGTTCATATCCTGGGTCATATTTCCAGCCTTTCCGCAGCTGGAGTGGTTCAGAGTCTCTGATCCTCCATCCCACACCTGCCTTCACCCTCTAACCCAACTACCAAGCAACTCAGCAAAGACCAGCAGCACCCCTGTTACCATGCAGCCAGTACTGACCAATAGCCTACCAAGTGGGGCAAACAAGACCAGTCTGCGGCCCCCCCCCACATCCCCGTTCCCTCCTGCCCTGTAAGTTGTGCTGGCTACCTCTCAGTGCCCTTTTATGTCTGTTCCTTATATGGGTGAAGTTCAGACTCCAGTCCAGCAAGCCTGCCAGTTCAGCATGCTTGCATGGCACAGGACACCTCCCCCCAGATCCTGAATGGTCACCCCAGGTGACAGGCAGTTTTGCCCACCCTCTGGGTCATTTAGCCATCCATCAGCCTCCTTAGCATCCACCATGCCTTCCCCTCATCATCACCCAAGCTGGCTGTACTCTGGCCCTTTTATCAGGACCCTGCTGTCCTCTCCTGAGCAGCCCCTTTCACCTTCTACCTCCTGCGACCTTACCTTCCCCCCACAAAGTCATCTAACAGGAAGAACCCCCAACCCTACTGTCTCTTTCCAGGGAAGACCCCTACCCCTGTTCCCACAGCACTCCAGGACAGCAGGGGTGCTGCAGCCTCTACAGGGCTCCGAGATTCCATCTTTCAACATGAGGGTAAACTCATGCATGAGTGTCTTCTGGGGAGAAGCTCACAGCTTTCAACAGATATTTACAAAATGTAACAAGATATCTGATCATAGATATCAGATGACGTAGTGTGTGGTTCTGTCACAAAACAAATACCAGTCTTCTAAAGATGCACATTAAGTGTCTGAGGGTGAGGTATATTATCGAGACATACTTCACTTCCACTAGCAAGCAAGATGAAGGCAGAGGTGGCAGCACAGGCTACAGAAGGGGGTACCATCTTTTCCACTTCCACAGACACTCAAAGTCCATTAAGTCTACTCAACAAAGCCTGAACTTCCTACTGCACCATACATGGGGCTTTCTGATCACCCTGCACCCAACCACCTGCCACACGGCCCAGCCTCTAGTCTGACTTGGGATGCCCCTCCCACAGCCACCATTCCTTCTGCCCAACTAGGAGCCCCCTTTCTATCTCTCTGTAGGACTCAGCTGGAACAGGAACCTCTGACAGGAACCTAACTCCACCCCTCAACAGAACAACCGTCCCTCGCTGTGTGACATTCTATTTATCGGGAAAGCAGTGGCAACCCAGCAACCAACTCAATGACACAGGGGCAAGCATACCACATCTCTGGAAACAGGGTGTTGAGGCCTTCCCAGCTGTAAACATTCAGGATGGCCAGCCAGAACTTGCCCCAGGAGGGGATGGCCACAGCACCACCTGGGAGAGAGAACAGGTCTGTATCATCTGCTTCTGGTTGGCAGAGCCGTCCTGCTTCTAACTGGGAAGACTTGCCTCACAGATATCACATGTGCCCCTCCTCGTAGGAACTGAGGACAGTCTTCTGTGGATCCTACAACCCCAACTTGAGGAGCAGGTTCCAGGTGCTCAGGACTGCCCCAGACCCACAGCCACTGGGTGCTACCAGCTATTTTCCCAGGAGCAAGTGTGTCCAACCCCCAGGAGATGTGTTCACAGCCCTTGCCCCAGGAAGGAGCACACCAAGATAGTTACATGGGAAGGTGCAGGGACACCTCAGTGCACAGGTGAGGGAGGGGCCCAGATGCACACAGAGCCCATATCCAATGAGCCTGGAGAAGGCAATGGGGAAGTTAGAGTACGAAGTCAGCCTTCTCCTTCTGAGGTCAGGCCTAAACTGTCCTGTCTGTGTCATTCCCACCGGCAGACTAGTCTTACACAGGTATAAAAATGGGCCCCAGGCTGCAGAGTAGCCTGACACACTGGCCTCACGTCCAGAGCCACCTCCAGCAGCACTGGGTCAGTCCTCCCCAGAAGACACACTGCCACACTGTGTGAAAGTCAACACAGATTCACGGAGCTACTAGGCAAAGTGTGGCCGAAGCAATCCTTCTCCACCAGACAGGCACCAGAAGGGGAAGCAGCCCTGGGAACTCAGCATCAATGATCCAAAGGCAAACAGTGAATTAATCACAACAGTGACAAGCTCATGAAGGAAAATGCAAGACCTTATAAGAATATGTAGCAGGATACTTTGTCTAGCCTGGCTGGTCAGAAAGAAATCCCCAAACAAGTAATATTTCAGGTGGGAGATGAGAGATAAGTGGGAATCCCAAACTAGCAGGGCAGGAAGGAACATGGATGTACCCGGTCAAGAAAGCAGCGCATGAGGAGTGCTACTGCAGGAAGGCATTTTGAGGAGTGGACAGGAGATCCCTGTGTGGAATAAGGGAGTGGTAGGAGCGGTGTGGGATGCAGAATGTCCATAAAAGGCAGGGGGCAATACCAGGCTGGGTTCTGCAGAGCAGCAACATGAGATAGGCTTTGCTCTCAGAGAAGCAGGAGCTGTGGAGCCTCCTGAGGGCTGTGATTGCCTTCAGAGCCCACAGGCAAGGAGAGAAGTAGCCAAGCCAGGGCAGTAGGACAGCCAACATGGAGGGTGTATGCAGGGCTCTGTACTATACCATGGGCTCTCCCTCTGGCATATTAACATGTTGCTTTTCAGTCTTTGCTGATTCAGGAAAAAAATTATTATCTGATTATCTTAATTTGCTTTTATTTTATTTATTTGCTTAGAGACAGGGTCTTATTCTATCGCCCAGGCTGGCACGCAGTGGTATAATCATGGTTCACTGCAGCTTTAAACTCCTGCGCTTAAGCGGTTCTCCTGCCTCAGTCTCCTGAATAGCTAAGACTATAGGCGCACTCCACCATTCTCAGATCTTAATTTGCTTTTCAAAAAATTACTGGTAGGCTAAACAGTTTCTGCATACCTCTGCTTTGACAAATTCCCTGTTCATGTGTTTCACCCAGTGTTTCAACTGGAGGTTCATCTTTCAATTTCTCATCTGTAAAAGCTTACTACAGAGTTGACAAGAACCCTTTCCCTAGCACATGCTGCACAGGGTGTACCTTTCTTGTGAAGAATGTTCCGGGCTCGTACCAGGTCAGGATCATCAGGTCCGATACCCAGAATTCTGAGAGCCACATAGTTGAGTGCAGTCCCAAACACTGTAGACTTGTCCTCAATGTGCCTATAGGAGCAGAAGATTGGTAAGAAAACAACATCTGTCCTTACTGCTAAGAAATAAGCAGCATTTTCAGGGACACTTCCTCAGAAAAGTGAGAATGCTGAAATACCTTACCCTGACACAACATGTCAACACAGGAGACACCTGACAGCCACTCTCCAGTGAGAGTTCATGTACCAGCCGTGACAATGAGCAGTCCCCAAACCTCCCAGACAGGAACTGCCCTGGCTCTTCTGATCCTTTTACCTGAGTCTACGCATCTAATCCAAGGGCAGCCCATTTCAGGCTAGGGCTCTGCTTCCAAAACATATGCCATACCACTAGAAAGTAGATTTCTCTCTGAGACATGGGGAGAGCTGCCAGGCCCTGCCTCCACCTGTTGCTGTCCCTGAGTCTAGTTCTGCCTCAGTAACAAGAGACTGACAGTTTTTACATGGGGGTCTGAAGAGGTTCCCAACCAGTCACGAAACCTATTTACAACACAGGGAGTGAAATTGAAACCTGGCCTGCACATAGCCTCCAGCCCACTCCCCTCCTTCCAGACTCTCCCCCACTCATCCCAGGTTCACAGCTATAGTCTAACCCCTCAACAGGTACCTGGAAACCCAAGCATCTCCTACACAAGAACAAACACACACAGTAAAATGGGGTCAGGCATACTCACAGACCCCAGCCACCATCAGGTAGTTGCACTGACCGCAGGTACCGCACAATCTCTTCTCTGTATCCAGCTGGCAGAGGGATGTGTGCCACGTGGCAAGTAATCAGGAGGCCTGTGTGGCAGGAGAGATGTCTGCTGGGGCAGGTGGTCACCACTGTTGAGCCCAGGCCCCCCTCCTCCTGAGGACTCTACCCCAACAGAGAGCTACCCCCCAGGGTCTTCATCCCATGGAAACAACCCCGCTGAAAAGTCCCTGGGCCCCCATCAGGGACTTTGGGAATAAAGCCAGAGAGAACACAAGCAATAGCACAGGCGAACTCCCTGCCTACGGTCTGTGGAGCCCGTATAGCTGCACCTGGCTCCAAAGACATTGTCCAGGTCAGAGAAACACCAAACACTTCACAGCAGTTCAGGAAGGCCTCCCCCAAGTGCCCCGAAGGTCCAAGAGGGACCAGTATTTTAGATCGGTGGGCCCTCCATGGGTGAGACTGTTGGTCTTGCTTTAATATCTGCTGGGAAACAACACCAAATGGGCAACTCCTAGATGGGGTAATATCTACTTGCTTATTTGTAGTATTCAGTTTTATAAATTTTTATAAGCATATGCCATTTAAAAAATGTCAGGAGAAGGGAGAAACAATAATAAATACTATCCAAAAAGAACTTCCATTCCCAGCCTGATCCTCCTAGGCCTGGTGCTCACTGGCCACCCTCCACTCCCACCCCTATGTTCCCTCCATCAGCCATGGGCTCAGGTGCCTGGGACAGGACAGGTCTCAGGGCAGACCCCGGCCACACATGCCATGGAAAAGATGCATGACTCTTGCTCAAAGGCATCATGAGTTTTATGGGTCAAACCACATGCAGACATGCCCTGGAAGAAGGGCAGATGGACTCAGAGACACCATACAGGTTCACGTAAAACAAGCCCTTCTCTTTATCTTTCATAACAGTTGTTACGCTGTTAAGACAGGGAAATATGCAGGTGGGAGCAGTGCCAGCACATTTTTCCCATTTTACAGGCAAGGAAACTGAGGCATGACCAGTATATGGTGAGGTTGGGGGAGGGGGATCAGACCCCTGTTAGTACTCGCCAAAGTGCCAACCAATGACACACAGGCCACAATTGATGGGAGCTATCTACACAGGATCAGACACCAGGAGCATTTTCCAATTAAAGCAGGAAAAGGAAGGACTGGTCAAACCTCCATCAGCCATGGAAGAACACTAGTATAGCACTCCAGAACAGGCCAAAGTCAACCCAAGGAAGACAGTCTGTCCAGAGCCCAGAAAGGGCAGAAGAAAACCCCCAACCCACAGCCCAGAGAGGCCCAGAGTTCCGGCAGCAGGCACAAAACAACACAACAGCAGAGTACCTACTGTGTGCCTATCACCATGGACATGTGACCAAACCTGATTCTAATCCCTGTGTCATAGATGAAGCAACAGAGGCAAAGTGAGGTTGAGTGACCTCCTGACCAACTCCATGTTCCTGCCTCACTATGAAGACATCTGGGAACAGTCTCAACAGGTCCCAGGTGGGGCCAAGAGAAGAAGGAGTCCCTTGACTTGTCCCCAAGGACAGGTCCTCAAGTCCCAGGACAGAAAGTCATGATGTACAGTCTAGGTAGCTGCAGGGCTGAGTTAAACCAGAGATGGGAGCTAGGTGGTATCTCAGCACTTCTCTCACAAGTTGTGTGTGCCTCAACTATGCCCCAGTTTCCCATTGTATCAGATGGAGCTTACGCTAAGGAGTAAAAGAAGAGGCCTCGGGCAGGGCTCAGTCAGCAGTAAACACCATAGAACTGTTTCAAACATTAAAGGCTAACTCTTCCCAAACTAAGCCTGATGCAACTACATCCAAAGTCCCAACAGGCTTTATTCTGGAACTGGACAGAGAAGGGATAGAGGCACTCTGGATGAGTAAATGAACAGACACAGCTAAGAAATGTTTTAAAAAGGCAATGAAAAGATAAAAGAACTTTAAGTATTCTACAAAGTTATAATTAATATTAGTAAAAAAAAGTATCAATAAGAGTTATCACAGAAACAAAGTCTTATTTACATAAAAATTCAGGTCACTGAAACAATGTGATTATAAATCACTGGGGAAAGGGGTCTTATGGCATAAATTCACAGGAGGGCAGGGCACGTTGGCTCATACCTATAATCCCAGCATTTTGGGAGGCAAGGCCTGAACCCAGGGGTATGAGACCAGCCTGGGCAACTTGGCAAGCCCTCATCTCTACAATAAATACAAAAATTAGCTGGGCATGGTGGTGCACACCTGTGGTTCCAGCTGCTTGGAAGCCTGAGGTAGAAGAATAGCCTGAGCCCAGGTCAAGGCTGCAGTAGCTGTGCGCATGCAACTGCACTACAGCCTGGGTGAAAGAATGAGATTCTGATTCAGAAAACAAAAAAATTCATAAGAAGGAATCTCCCATATTAAAAGACTGACTATTTCTGAAGAGGAACATTCCCATGATAAAAAACAGTCTTATCTAGCTAAACCAATTCAGTACCCAGGGGGTCCAGCTGCAATCCTCCTACTACACAGGCCTGAACTAAAGCCTCTCTGCAGGAACTCCATTCAAGGTAAGTTCACAGCAGACATCAGCTCATCCACCAACCTACTTGCCCTGCCCACCTGCGGCCCCCTGGCACAGGCTGGGCCTTCCACCTGGAGTGCCTGTCTCACTGCACTGGGAACTCCTGAACTCATCAACCTCCTCTTCTCCAGCCAATACAGTCCCCCCCAGAGAACCTCTTGCTTCCCTTATCAGAGAGTTTGTCACCCAGCTCTGGGCAGGGCTAGCTGTGCCTTCGTTCACTCCCATCACTCCCATCCCCTAGTACCAACAGTAGGATGACTCGGACAGAGGGCAAATCTTGCTAACCCTTTTCTACATGAATTCCTGGGTTTTCACCTGCTTCATCAAGAGTTTGGACGAGGCTGGGCCAAGACCCCAAAGATGACCCAGGGGCAGCATGCTCCTACCTGGTATGAGGAAAAGCGGGCCACCGTAATCACCTGCCCAGTGCCCATCCTCAGCCTGCAGCTCTGCATAAAACGTCACCCCATTCAGAGCCCCCTCATATGCCGTGTGGGCTTTGGGCAAGTCCTTAAAATAATTTTTCTGCAAAGAGAAAAAAAGGGAGCTAAGGAGCAGCCCAATGAGCCCTCCTCACACACACAACTCAAAATAGTGAATCTAAGTTACTTTGAAAATTTCAAGGCTGGACATGGTGGTGCATGCCTGTAATCTTAGCACTTTGGGAGGCAGAGGTGAGAGACTGCCTGAGCCCAGGTGAGAGACTAGCCTAGGCAACTTGGTGAGACCAAGTCTCTACAATAAATCAAAAAAATTAGCCAGGTGCAGTGGCACACATCTGTAATCCCAGCACTTCGGGAGGCAGAGGCAAGAGGATTGCCAAGAGTTTGAGAACGGCCTGGGCAACTTGGTGAAACCTCATCCCTCCAATAAATCAAAATATTAGCCAGGTGTGGTGATGTGCACCTATGGTTCCAGCTACTTGGAAGGCAAAGGCAGAGGGATCACCTGAGCAAGGAGGATGAGCCTATAGTGGCTATGAGTGTGCCATTGCACTCCAGCCTGGGGCGACAGAGACTCTGACAGGAAAAAGAAAGAAAAAAGGAAGTTTCAATTGTTTCAATCAGGCTGGGCTCCATGGTTCAGCCTGTAATCCCACGCTTTGGGAGGCCAATGTGAGTGAATTGCCTGAGCCTGAGGGTTCAATACCTGCCTGGGCAACTTGGCGAGACCTCATCTCTACAATAAATCAAAAAAGTAGCCAGGCGTAGTAGCGCGCGCCTGTAGTTCCAGCTATTTGGAAGGCTGAGGCGGAAGGATCCCCGGAACCCAGCAAGTCGAGGCTGCGGTGGCTGGGAGCGGCCACTGCACTCCAGTCTGGGCGACAGAGTGAGACTCCAACTCAAAAAAACAAAAACAACAACAAAAAAATCAATTGTATCAATCAAAAGTCTGAAACTCTTTGATGATAGTAAAGTTAAAAGATAGTTCCAGGTTCTTTACCTTCCAGTCACATATTACGTATTTGCTAAGCTCACAACTTCTCCAAGATGTCTTAAATGAACCAGGCACTGGCAGAGTATGGGTGGGGCATTGATGCCCACCTAGGTCTGAAACTCAGGCCTCTCTTGGAAAGGGACCAAGGGATAGTACTGCTGCTCCAGGAGGGGCCTGAGCTGGTTACTGACAAGGGCTTTGTGAGGGCATCTGGTTTACACTGCACACTCTCTAACTAGCTGAAATCCTTATACAAATGCATACAACCAAAACACTGGATCAAAAAGTTTCTTTTTGTGAATAAAAACAAAACTACGACTACCTTTGCAACATTTCTCTACCTTTGCAACATTTCTCTACGTCTAAAAACATTTCAAAATAAAGAAAACAAAACTAGAAGTTTCTTACACATGGCTTAGTGATGAAGGAATTGAAATGAAGTGAAAGGGCCACTCACACTCTACCTTTACCTCAATTCCTTTGGGAAACAGCCTTGGTAACAGGCGTTACTAGCCACATATGACGTCTTTATTACATATATAATTTTTTTGGAGAAGGGGGTCTCACTATGTTGCTCAAACTGGTCTCTAACTCCTGGTCTTGAGCAACCCTCTGGTCTCAGCGTTCCAAAGTGCTGAGATTAACAACAAAAAAGCGCTCCTCACGACTAACTTCTCAGGCTCTCTATTGGTTCCTGGAGCGCCGGCAGGTTTTGGTCACTTCCCTGACCTTCCTGTGAAGCACTGATAAGCAGAATGCAGCCACTTACGGTGTCCAGTCCCAAGGAGTGGGCTTCCAGAGCAGTCTGTTGCCGGCCAGGGTCTTCCTCTCCAGCAAAAGTCCACACCTGCCGGCCCCTCTCATTGCGGAGGCGCCAGTGGCTCAGGTCAGTGGCGGGCTCTGTTTTATAGGGTCCTCCTCTACGACGCAGGCACCTGAGAATGACCAGCTTGGGTCATCAGCGTCCGGCCCGTTCCTCG